TTCCCAGAAATAGTGTAGTTGTTTATCCCTTTCTTGAATCTTCTCAAAGGACATTAACATACTAAAGATTTTGAGAAGTTATGTAATGAAGTACAGAAAGCTATGTAATATTATCAGAACATTTCCCAAATTTCTAAAATCATTTTATGATGGAGCTTTTTTCTGTTCATACAACTTCTAGTGTTTGATGAAAACACTTGGGGAGGGTGCCCTTAATGTGGGCATGTTACTGAAAGCTTGACCACTTGTCCATGAGGTCAAATCAGAAGAATGAGGACAAGTAGTTTAGAGAGGAAGGAAAGAGAATTTACTTTGCTGACAAAGGAGGAAATATGGTAGACTTTCTCATCTCAAAATCCCAAATTTCCAGAACATAGGCAGAAATACAGAGCTTTTAAAGGGAGGGTTCTCAGCTTAACTATTCTAATCTTCCCATCTCTGCCAAAGACACAGCCTGTGACCTCAGCCAGTGACCCACCTGGGGGATGGCATCACCTGGGAGTTTTAACAAAAGACTAAAACCTGCTTCAGGGATGCTGTCCAGAGTGCAGTTCCCAAAAAGAATGGGGGAAGTTTTGAGACAGAAAAATCTCTTTGCCATTTCCTTTTCTTTAGGACATTCCTTCTGTTACATATTCCCCACTCTCAACATTTCCTTCCATATCTATGGCAGGAGGGGCAACTACTCTGCTACAGGATAAAGCAGAGAAAGGAGGTTTAGAGACCCTGAGACCAGCCATTTTGACCCATACCAGACCCTGCCTACCCTGAACAAGGAAGTCACCAGCAGGTTGCCAGCCCAGGACCACTTGAAGAGGGATGAATCACTAAGCCAGACACCTTACAAATTGTGTGTACTTACCTTTCTGTGACAGCAGTTGGTGATTAACCTTTATGGCCTGACCTCAAAACAAACCTGGTCACATAAGGGGTTTCTGAACATTTAAAAATATTATCATTGCCCCATGAGGTGGTCCCCCTCCTGCTCTGGAAAGATCCCCTACTCTGTCTGTGGAGTAGGATCTATTGTCTGTCTCTCTCTCAATAAACTTTCTGTGGCTAGTTGGCTTGCTCTTGAACTCTTTCCAGCATGAAGCCAAGAACCCACTTGGGAAGTTCAGGGGCCTTTCCTCCCTTTTTGGGGACACTCCATGTCACACCCTGGGGGAAACATAGAGGTGGTTATTTTTATGTTAAAGCAATAGGATTTATGGGTGCCTTATTTGTGGGTGCCTTTCCAAGCATGCTGTAATCTTGTTACAGCAAGTGTCACAGTAGGTGATCCTAAGGACAAACTGAGCGGCACACAGAGAGCCAGGGAATCAAAGTTTATTTGCAGGTGGACTCCAAGGGGCCTCGCCACCAAATTCTAAGCACCATCTACCCGATTTTTCCCACTTTTATTAAGTTGTGGTGGTCTGAGGGGATGTATCACGAAATAGCTTAATATTATGTTGATGCACCAGGCAATAGGTTTAGTGTTATGCTGACTCCAGGCAATAGACTAGTTGATGGGCCAGGAAACAGGTTAGTATTATGTTGATGTGGGTCTTCCATGAGTGGTGGGGTCTCTGGTACCTGATAAACCAAGTAACAGATGGGGTTTCCCTTATCAATCTAAATGGTTTTGATAATTTTGTTTGATTTTTTACTTTGGTGTCAAAGTTCTTAGTTGCAAGCTGAGTGATTGAGGCAGAAAAGGAATTATTAAAGGATAATTGTGTTGCTCATGGAGGCTCTAGGAAGGCATCAACTTATATGCCACCCATCCACATAAAACACCCAAAATTCTCTCACAGAACTGATTCTGTGAACGCACAGTTGTTTCTTCTACTGGACACAGACTCAACTGATTGTTCTGCTGACAGCACTGATACTGGACACTGGCCCCCAATGCTAGAACTTTTACCACCATGAACTCTGGACACTGGATCTTGCTACCACTAATGCCCTCAACCTCATCAAGGTGGCTTTCTGATTCTTAGCTTCCAAGTTAAAATCCACCCTGGATGAACCTTCTCTCTGCTGAAGTGGAGAATGTCTCAAAGGTAAAAGGGGAGAAGGTTGAGTAGGCACCCAAAAATAATGACAAATGTCCTCTTCCCTCAAATATTTTTATCCCCTCAACTTCCTCATTTCATATTCAATTATACTTTGCTCTCCCATCCCCCTACATATACATTCTATCTCTTCTGTCTAGTACAAATTTTACAGTAATATGAAAAGCTTCAGAAAATAATCCACAAATAGCTGAGGCTCTCCACCAAGCTATAACAGCATGTTATCTAATGAGCCAAACTCACTGAAACCTATGGCACTGCCATTGCTGGTTTGAAAATACCTAGAAATATACTTAACCAAGGAGGTGAAAGATCTCTACAAACAGAACCATGTAACATGGGGAAAAGAAATCATAGACAACACAAACAAATGGAAAATAATATCATGCTCATGGGTTGGTAGAATCAACATTGTTAAAATGTCCATACTAAAAGTGATTTACAGATTCAAGGCAATCCCCATGAAAATGCCAACATCATATTTCACAGATTCAGAAAAAATAATTCTATGCTTTATTTGGAAGCAGAAAATAGCCCAATTAGCCAATAGTTATCTTTTTTGTTGTTTATTTGCTTAGATTTCTATGAAAATGTCCTTAGTTTTTTCTGTGTACTCACCTGTAATTCAGCTTATTGGAAGCTCTAAGTTTATTGGTGTATTCATAGTCTTCATTGTTGATATTTCCACTAATTGTGTAACCCCTCTTGGTATATGAAGGATCCTATCAATTTCACTTTCTTGAAGAAACCATCTTAAAGCGTTCTGACTAGCTCCATTCGTAGCTTCCTGTTCTCCAATGTGTTAAAAGGCTGTCATCTTGTCAACTCTGCTTACCATCATCGTGGGGATTCCACTCGCCTCTCCCTGGTGCCAGATCCTTTGTTTCCTGAATTGCATAGTTTTCTCTTTCATAGTTTTAATCCCTCATTTTTATGGATCACATTTTCCAATAGCTTCCTGAAAAGGATGAATTACAGGTAGATTTTAGAAAATTTTTATATTTGAAAATGTCTTTATTTTACCCTAAGTAGGAATTTGGCTGATAGAGTTTTGTTTTTTGTTAAGTTTTATCACCTTCCCTCAAATATTTTGGAGGCAACATCCCATTGTTTTTCATCTTCCATTGTGGATAAGGAGAAGTCTGATGTCATTCTGAATCCTGATCCTTTGTATCACATCTTTTTTCCCTCCTCTCTCTAAAAAATTGTACATTTTCATTTTTCTTCCTATTATTCTGAAATTTCACAGTGATTGGCCTCTGTGTGATTTATATTATTCATTATACAGGACCCTGGTACTCAAGTCCTTCTAAGAAATTTTCTGATTTACTTATTGATACTTTCCTCTTCATTTTATCTGTTCTTTCTTTCTGGAACTCTTTTATTTGGATTTTTGACACATTTAAAAATATTTGCTCTCCTATTTCCTCTGTTTCCATATTCTTTCTTTTTATTTAGTTCATTTTTATCTTCCAAAGCTTCCAATGCAATTTGCATTTCTACTTTCACACCTTTAATTTCCAAGAGCTCTCATTTTGGTTTTTGGGTGTTATTTTTATAGCATCATATTCCTGTTTCTTGGATGCAATACTCTCTCTTACCTCTTTAGGGATAATTAATAATAGTTTTTATTCAAGTTTTCTTCTCCCTTTGTAGTCTGTATCTCTTCTGAATGCTCATCTGTTTGTTTTTGTCTCTGTCTTTCATGATTGTTGCTTTTCTCAGCTATCACACAATCCTTGATGTGTAAGAAGCTGATTGGAAGCTCTAAGCCTATGGATGACTTCTGGTTTTCATTGTTGGTATCTCACTGAGCTCCCTAAGGAAGCCCTGATGTCAGTATCTTTCAATCATTTTTCTTGGGTTGGTCATATTTCCACAGAAAGCTTTTCCAATCTCTTTCCTGAGTATAAACATGTGGTTGTTAAAATTCTGAGAGCCTGGTAGGAGATGAAGACTGTCTCAATTTTGATATGTAAACTTTTGCTAACTCACCATATTTCCAATATGGTATCCCCACACTCATCTCTACATGGTATCTAATTTATTACTTTAAGAGACTAACCCTCTCACCAGTCTACTGTCAGAGTGGAACTGACAAGTCGTATTCTTGTACAGATGGAGAAATAATTCAGGAGTCTAAGTCTTTCTTTCAAATAATTTAAACCAATCCTCCTGGTTTTATATCCCTCTTTACTCCTAGTTCCAGAGTGTCCATTATCTCTGACTCCTCAGATTGTTGTGGGGGCAATCTCTGCCTCCAATCAGCTTCCTTTTTAGTTTTTCCACTGCTTAATTAAGATTGAAATTACTTTCCCTAGTCTGCTAAATCAATTGCCACTCTTCCATCTATAATCTTGCTTCTAAAAATTTTGTTATTGTTGTATTTTCTCCTGTTCTGTTTGTTCTAATGGTTTATGTCTTTATAAAAACCCTGTCATCATCTCTTTAATAGAGTTTTGGCAAGGAGGAAATATAATGCATGTGTTCAATTTTTCTGCTTTAAATAGAAGCCCATTGACCTTTTAATGACATTCCTTGATAGGCTTCCAAACACACTCTACACTTGCACTTCCCCAAATGTACTAGATTATCCTCTCTGTCCCTCTCTCTCTCTCTCTCTCACACACACACACAGACACACACAGACACACACACACACACACACACACACACACACACTTTTATACGCTATTCTCATTGCTCAGATAGTCCTTCTTACTCCCCACCTCATCCCCATCTCTACCTGAGGAATTCTTGCTCATCTCTCACCAGGAGCTCTCAACTCCACCAAGACACTTCTCAGACTCCCCCCTATGATTCCATAGCTCCTTGGATATCTCCCTATCACAGTACATATATTCCTGTATAATAACTGGTTATTTACTTTTCTATCTTACCCATTTGACAACTTTGAAGACACTTCCTGCTCTCTCACAGGCCTTCTTCCTCCAGAGATGCCTCTGGCAAAAGAAGTCTTTTCACCAAATGGGAAACTAGAGACTATATGAGATGTTCCCCTAAAGCAGTGTTCCAGACCAAGAGAAGACTTCAGCCCAAAACATTTAAAAGGTATTATTATTTCTATCATAACTGTAAAAATCACTTTCCTAGACTGGTCCTCAAAGTTATACCAGACATTAACTGCCTTAAAATTGCATACAGTGCTTTGTTTAGTCAAAGCACTTTAGCATTCATCAATTAATTATAATAAATTACCATCATTAGGTAGCTAATTAAATTTGAAACTGAACTTCCAGAGGAGAAAAACTAATTTGGAAATATCACTTTTGGCAGATGTCTATAGGCCCAGCTCCTTATTTCTTGACCTTCCATTTAAAAAAAATCGTAGGTTCTGGGATGGGATTTGGCCCAGCAATGATCCCATGGGTTCCTCCTCTTCCTTATACAGTCCCAACCCTGTGCTGGTCCTTTTCAGAGCTTGTACAATAAACAGCCTTGAGTGTGCCCACCCAGGTGTCATATTTATCAAAATCACAATGTTCTTATTTTTAGTTAGAAATAAGAGGCTGTTTCTAACACAAACACACACAAATTTAGCTCTTCTGATGGCTAGAGCTGTAAACAAAGCAAGTATTAAAGTTTTTAGAGGCTGCCTAAGAAGGGGTAGCAATGGACTGAATGTTTGTGGCCCCCCAAAATTCATATGTTAAAATCCTAACCTCCACTGTGATGACATTGGGAGGTGGGGCCTTTGGGAGAGGACTAAGTAGAACTCTCAGAAATGAGATTACGTCCCTAACACAAAGGTCCCCAGAGAGCTCTCTCATTTTTTTCTCATCCTGTGAGGATTTAATGAGAAGACAGTAGTCTGAAACATGGAAGAGGGCTCTCACCAGAACCTAACCATGCAAGCACCCTGGTCTTGGATTTCTCAGCCTCTAGAACTGTGAAAATAAATTTCTACTATTCACAGAAATACAGTGGAGTTAAGCTCCTAGATTTATTTATCTTCCATGTATCAGAGACATGAACTTTCACCTGAAATTTGTGGAGCTCTCCACTTCCCAAGGCAAAGGAAAAGGGAGAGATAAGTTACATGGTGTGTGTTGCAGCCCCACATATGCATTGAAATGCTGAAAAAACTCTCATGGAACATTAATCCCAAACACAGTCTGATTAGCCCCCTTTGGTTATAATGAGATATTGCTTTCATATACCATTAAGGAACTCCCCCATCCCAAATTGTAACCAGACTGGCGTTTTTCATGTGCTCTTAGGGAAAAGGGAGGTGCAAATGTCCCAGCATGCAGTGATTTTCCTTGAAAGCATTATCACTGCAGATTGCTTATGATGGATCCTGATATAGTGCTTTTATTATTATATATCATATAATATTAATAAATATAATAGCAATAATAATTTTCAGGTGTTTTTATATTTTATGTTAGAACTTCTACCTTGTAAAGTTGATATTTTATTATCTCCATTTTTGTAAGGAATTAGATTCTTGGAGAGAAAATAACTTGTCCAAGTGTCCAAGGTCACAAAGCTAGTTGGTGATACAGTTGAGAATCTAATCCTGGTTGTTTGATACTGGTTATGACAAAGTGAATCCAGTCACTCTATATTCACTGGCATGCTTTTGGCTGAAAACAAAAGAAACCCCAAATAAAGGTCTGAAGGAAGAGCAGCGTTGGGTTTGGTTGGTTCGGTGCCTTAGTGACATCATCCAGGGAAAGTCTTTCCCTTTGTCTTCTCTCCTACCCTCATTGTGTCAAACGTCTTCTCCTTATGGTTCTAAGATGTTTCCATTGTTCCAGGCATCAACTGTAGTAGATAAAGTCCAGAAGAAGAAAAGGGACTAACTGTAATGTGTGCCTTTTTAAAAGCAGAAGTAACTTCCTTTTATGTCCGGTCACAATTTCACCAAATGCCCTCAGTGCAACAATCATTTGGCAATTGATACCATATTGATTAGCATGGATCAATTAAGATTCAGTAGCCTAAGGCTGGGAAAGGGTCCAGCCTCTGCTAAAGAGTGTGATTTCTCAGAGGAAGATCTGTAAAATTTATCAGCAAAGAAGAAAGAGTAAATGCTCTGGGATTGGCACTCCCACCAATATTGGAGACTATTTATTTTCTAAAACATTTTGCTATCAGATAATGAAATAAAGTATCTGGTAATTATACAACCATAATGGATACGAAAAGTTAGTAGAGTATGAGAAAAAAGCCCAAGTCCAATATGCTTAATTATACGTGGTTCTGGGTACTTAACACTGCAGAAGGATGAAGAGACATGAGTTCTAATCCCACCTCCAATCTAACTAACTGGATGATCTCAACCTACTTAATATTGATTTCTTCCTTTTCTACATTGGATAACAATGCCTGCCTCTATATATCTCACAGAATTTTTTCTTAATATCAAATGGCTTACTAAGTCATTGTTGACATGAAACAGAAGTCAGTGTTCCAATGAATAAATTCAATAGGAAGTTTTCTGGTTTTGAAGGTACTTTGAGTGCTTATCTTGCTGGGTCCTCCCTACCCTCTTCCTTTCCTCCCTAGTTCTCAGACAAACCTGAGACTTGTGTCGCAGATCCTCTACTCTCAGTGCCCAGCCTAAATCAAGGACTAAGATGCCTGTCCTTCAACATCTGAGTGGGTCTTTAGAATGCACCGTAATGTAGACATATGAACCCATTGTCTGTCTTTGCATTTTAGAGAATTTAAGTGATGCGGGAGAGGGTGTCAAGAATCATAGTGACAATATGTCCTTCAAATGAAGCCAGGGACACCCAGAGGGAACTGAAGGAGGGCTAACAGGGCTCTAGCCTCTTTTCTTTGCAATATAAGGGATGTGTCATTAAATGCTTTTATTTTCATAAGATTTCTGAGTATCTTTCTCCATTGCTCTTCCCTCTGGTCACATCCTTTGGACTGAGGTTTATTCCCTGATTTTATCTTGGCTCTGTCTCTCTTACTCACTGAGTCAAACTTCACTGATCCATCCTACTAAGATGGATCCATCCTACTAAGTGCCCACAGTTCTTGATTTTTTTCTTATTTACTACAGTAGTTCTTATAATTGTTTTACCTTCATCCCTACAATACATAAAGATTTTAGCTGATTGCCTTTTGAAAGATTATATTACAAGACCATGCTCAATTAAACAGGAAGAGACATAGAGATCATCTTAGGCTCCTACCACTCAAAGTGTGATCCACAGAGCAGCAGCGCTGGCCTCACCTAAAGCTTGTTAGAAATGCCAAATCTCAGGCCAGCCCCAGATCTACTGAACCAGAAGCCACATCTTAACAAAATCTTCAGGTGACTCATATGCATATTAAAGTTTAAGAAGTGCTGATCTAGAGCAGCCACCTCAGTTCACAGAGAATTTAAGTGGCTTCTCTGTGGTCCCACAGCAAATTAGTGACTGAGTCAGACTAGATTCCAAGTCTCCTGATTGCTAAAACTGCACCACCACGCTATCTCTTGAATACCATTGACTCATTTTTATACACATACAGCTTTCATTTCCAAATCAGACAGCAGGCACTGACATAAAGGTATGCTAGTATTTGGCTTGAAAATTCACTTTTCTTAACTATTACTATGTATTACTTTATAATATAGCTTCATAGTTTTCTATAGCCTTCTTCTTTTTCATTTCTTGATTTAATTATCTCAAAAGGGCCTGCTCTGATCTTAGCAATAAAATGAGCAAAGCTTGCCTTTACTGTCTTTCTATTCACCTCTTTTTTCCCCACCCACTTTTTAGGACTCCCTAGACTGGTTAACCAACTAGTCACTCTATCTGCTAATATTTTATTTAAAATTGCTATACCTATATATATAAATGAAAATAATCTAAACCTTTCTTTTTATTTTAGTTCTTGGTTAAGATCTTGAGATTAAAATTATGATTCCTCCATAAAATGAATTGGGGAGTTCGATCACTGATTTAAAACCTACGGACCTCCTAAGTGAGGGATTTGGTGGGTCATAGTCTGTGACTCATCTGTATTAACACTTTTACAAGATTATCTTATTTGCAGGACCATGAATACCTAAAATCAAAAGCAGAATAATGTTTTCTTAGACAAAACACGCTGTCGTGCTTGCACCTTTGAGATTTTAGTACCTCTTGAGCAGACTGGGGCAAGAAAGGGGGGAAGAGGAAATATGCCCCTCAGAACTCCCCCTCCCTCCCCACTGCCCAGATCCTGCTGTGGACAGCCGCATGCAGCTGTAATGCTGCTCCTCTGCCCACTGCTTCCACCCATGGTGCATCCATCAGCATTCTTCCCATTCCTTTCTTCATACACCAAACAACTAAGAAAACCTAGCCTAGGAGCCCTACAACCCACTGCAGTTCATTCTTGGGATTTTCCATTTGATTCCAGTGTCCTAAAAGTAGGGAAAGAACATTTGGAGCATTCCCAGTCATACTCAGGTCATCTGACAAGGTACGTCTGAGAGCATTTCGGGGTGACTCTGAGGCCCTCCCTGATCTGGAAAGATGTGGTCATGACTCGTGCTTTTATAGCAAATGACAAGAGGAAGAATCAGTCTGCCACATATTAGCAAGTGTTCCTGCTGTCCTTATCTTCACACATTCTCTTTCCCACTTTAGAATTGTTTCTTAACCTCAGGAATAGCCTGCATTCTGAAGTTCCTGGATAACAAAGAAAAACCTATGATTTTATCACTACCACCTCCACCCCTTCAGTTTGCTTTGAGAAGTCTTTGTGCTTGGAAGAAGCTAAGAAATATATAGGAAGTCTGAAGAATCTTAAAACTTATTACTGAAAGACAAATATTCCCCTATCCTGATTAACAGATCAAGCAGGCAGTTGTGTCTGTGATGTGACCTGAAGACACGAATCAACAAAAGTTCCGCCTGCCCCATACATTTCCCTCTCTCTGACCTGAAATTCTGCCACTAATTTACTGATGGAAGGTTCCTCCTTCTTTTTCTGTGTTTCAGTGGGGAGGGGACATGAGACAATGCATCTAAATCCACGTATTCCATAGTTTTCCCAGGACTAACCTTGGTCTAAATTTTTCACATATGTTCAAGAGGGTACAAAGGGACCCAGGT